CCGCCCCCGCCCCCCGTCAGCTGCGGGAGAGGCTGTCGCCATGGCAACGCCCCCTCCTCGGGGCCAGCGCGGCAGGCTCCCTCCAGATGCAGGCCCCGACGTCTCCCTCGGCCTCAGCAGGCGCTCAGGACAGTTGACGGCGGCGGGCGCGGCCCGCACCGACTGTGGCGCCAGTCGGGCAGAGGCAGGGCCAGCTCCGCCGGTTCCCCACCGCCCGTTCCCGGCCGCCTCAACAACGGCAGCCAGCACCACGAGTCCACAACACACCGACTCACCTCCGCGCACTCTGACCCCGACCGACGAGGCAGACGGGCGGGCGCTGTGGCCAACCGCTGAGACCGCAGCCGGCCCCTCTGGCCAATGGGCTGCAGGGGGCGGGGCCTCGTCTCCCCAAATGCTCGCTCTCCCGCCGACATGCGCGCTAAGGTGTGTCAAGATGGTGACTGCTGACAGCCGGCCTGATGGGACTTGTAGTTTTAAGGTTGCACCTACTCAAGAGAAGGCGGAGGTCACTTGTGAGCTGTGCAAGGAATTTTTTTTTTAAACGAAAACTTTCTAAGGTCTTAGAGCGGCCCAGGTCTCCCACCTCCTTTCTCAATATACCCATAAGGTGAGTATAGGCTCACAAGGTGACTGGTTCTATTTAGATGACACCTTCTCATGATTCATTCATTCAACAAGTCATTATTATTTATCAACTACTCTCTGATGAGAGCCTGGAGGAGACCTGAGAGGAGGAGAGGTTAGGTTAAGAGGAAAATGTTGAGATTTCTGAAGGGTATTTCTAAGGAAAAGATAACTGATTTGTTCAGGTTCACTCAGAGGAAACTTCATGCTTAAAAGGATTGTGGCCTCAGATGTGAGAAGCTTCCACAGTCAGTCTCTCCAGTGAGCTGGAAAAAACTCTGGCCAGAGTGAAACACCAGCAGTGTGTTTCTTCGTCTTGGTTATGCCTCTCTGGGAAGTTTTAAGTCCTGGGTTGTGAGCTGAGAAACCCTAGCATTGGCTAAACCAATGATGGCTTAGACAGCTTCCCAGTCAGTCAGAACCCATCTTCTGGGCCCAGTTTCAGTTACCAAGTCCCTCTGCGTGCCATCTGCATATTTTTGCTTAAGACAATGATGTCATTTCTGAGCCCTACCACAACTGAGATCTGACCCTGACATACTGGTTCCCGCCTGAGCTGATTACCTGGTAATTCCCAAATCAGGGAATGTCTTTCTAAATTCCATCCACTTAATAAGTTAGGTGATTCTACTGTGTACCCACAGCGTTTATCACACTGTTTTATAATTATCTATTTCCTTGTTGTCTCTCCTCTAGGACTGTAAGCTCCTTTAGGAAAAGCACTATTTCCATATTGTTTATGCTGTATCAATAATACTCAGCACAGTGCTAGGCATAGAGCAGGCCCACAGTAAATGTCTGTGAACAAATGTGGGAATAAACAGCAGCAAGGACAGACTTATACCAAGGTCAGTATAGAATAGGCACATCTGCCTATTCTCCATTTCTTGGAGTTGGAGCTGGGTCTTCCTCCTCCTGTTGTTACCTAGATATTAACCCCAATTTGTCAGTTAATCCACATATATTTATAATGCCTGTCTTGTCAGGCACTGCTTTCTGTTGCTGAGGATTCAATAATGAATAAGACACACAAAACTTGTATCCCCAAGGAGCTTTTAAATTGGAGAAGGGGGAGGAGGAAGAATGGACAATAGACAAGTAAATATACAAATATGACAAATAAGGTCCAGCATGGTGGCTCACATCTGTAATCCCAGAACTTTGGGAGGCCAAGGTGGGAGGATTGCTTGAGGCCAGGAGTTCAAGGCTACAGTAAGCTATGATCGCCCCACTGCATTACGAAATGGGCAACAGAGCAAGACCTTGTCTCTAAAATAAAAGGGAAAAAAAGACAAATAAGAGGCAGTGAGATGACTTTGTTATATCCTTTGTTAAATTCTAAGTTCTGGCCTGAGAGTAGGACACAGTCAATCTTCATAGCCATAAAAATAAAATAAATGAGCCAGGCTCAATGGCTCAGCCAGCAATCCCGCGCTTTGGGAGGCTGAGGTGAGTGCATTGCCTGATCCCACGGGTTCGAGACCTGCCTGGGCAACTTGGTGAGACCTCATCTCTACAATAAATCAAAAAATCAACTGGGTGTGGTAGCACATGCCTGTAATTCCGGCTACTCGGAAGGCTGAGGCAGAAGGAAGGCCGGAGCCCAGCAGGTCGAGGCTCCAGTGGCTGGGAGTGTGCCACTGCACTCCAGTCTGGGCGACAGAGTGAGACGCCAACTCAAAAAACAAAAAGAATGAAATAAATGTATGCTATGAATTGGAGGCTTTATTTAATGCCCAGCTCTTCATGGAGCCTTCCATAGTGCCCAGGACTTCCCCAGAATGTGCTCTTTCCTTCTTGGTGCTCTAGGGCTCAACTGTACAGCTTTTAGGTCTTGCTAGACTGTAAGTTATTTTTGTACAAAGACCAAGAAAAATACATTCAAATAACAGGACAGTTTCAGAACTCAGTATACACTTGGTGCCTTGCACTGCCATCTGACCCAGCATTTGGCTCCCTCAAGCTTTGGCTCTGTTGTGTGCTATCCAAAGGTTATGTGCTCAAATTTAATTGGGGAGTATAATCCCAAAACACCAAGAGTGAGTGGAGCCAGGCTCGGTGGCAAATACCTGTAGTCCCAGCTACTCTGGAAGCAGGAGGCTAAGGCAGGAGGATCACAAGAGTTCAAGGCCAGCCTGGGCAACATGGTGAGACCATGTCTCTTAAAGTAAATAAAAAGAGTGAGGAGAAAAAGGAAGTGAGGCAGGAAAGGAGGTGAAGAAAATACAAGATAGTGTATTACAAAGAAGTTGGCCAGAGCCTCAAAGAAAACACAACTAGTTGATCTGTTATACAGGATGTATCCTAGACAGACCATGTGGAACCATTGTCTCTGATAGGGAGAAAGGAAGGGTTACATTACCCCACTACTCTGGTAGCCACAGGGAATGCCAGATTCCACACCCTGAAGCACAGTTATTCATCTGAGAATAGAAATAGTAGGAGGAGTCAAAGTCTCTGGTTTGGTCAGAGTGGGTCCACTGCAGTCCAACCAAAGTGGGCACATTGGAGGCTGTGTCAAAACCCAACCCTCATGCCAGGGGAGACTAAGGTAAGCAGATGTGTGATGAGGTAGCAGTGACAGTGGAGCTGTCCAATAAACAAGTGGCCGATGGCTGGGGTTAAGAGTGCACTTGTTAGGACAAGTGATTTTGGCAAGGCAGATACATTGACTCCAGTACACAGACAGAGATACACCCTGGGAAAACTCCTGGCTACTGGATTGAGTGACTGAGCTAAAGTGAACACTGAGAGCAGAAACCAAGGAGAGGACCAAGTTGGATCTTCTGCTACCCCATCAAACCATCAGGAAAAACAGCATGGTGGACGTCAAAGCTAGGACTTTAACCAGCAATCAAAGGGCAGGGAACACAGGACCTAAGGACAGTTCATGACAGCCCCAAATTTTGGCACAGCCAAGAGAACCTAGATTGAGTCTGAAATCATTTTATCTGGGAGCTGGAAAAACTGCTGCAGCCGTCCGTAGTCCCTGTAAGCAACATAAGACAGAATAGTGTAGTTACAAGGAGAGTGGGCTCAGAGACAGCCTGTGTTTAGGTTTGAGTCGTGGCTCCATCTGTGACCCTAGGCAAGTCACATACCTCTCTGAGGTCCAGTTTCTTCATCTCTAGAGTGGAGATAATACTAGTACTTACCCCTTATTAGAATTAAATATACCACTGCTTAGCACAGTACCTAGAATAAAGAGTTCAGTAAATAGTGGCTATTATTATATTATTATTCTCGCCCTTCCCCCACCCCTCTCTCTAACTTCTCTTCCCACTGTGGCACCACCACTCCACCTCCACCTCCTTGTCCCCTTACCCTCACCACCAGCAGTCTTCTGCCACTCGAGGAGCAGTGGGAGCTGGACCTGGCCATGCCGGCTTTCTGCTCTCCCCAGGGCTGTTCCCCAGGAGCCTGAACCATTCATCTCCCTGGTGACCTGAATCTGAACTAAGAGATGGATGTGGGGTGGCTGAGGCCAGTGTGGTAATGTGTTCCCTTATCTCCGTGCCCCTCACTGGGGCCTAGTTAATTTTCCCTTTGATTTTAATATAGATTTATTGAAAGTTTCAGTTATCAAAACAAACTGCAGCAGCAAATTGGTGTTCTTTGCAGGCCTACAAGTGCCTATAAAGCTGCCATGCTCGGGAACGAATGGCGCTCTCTGGGAGGTCAGTCATGGCAACAGGAAGTCCCTGGGGACACACACACTGCAATTTAATATTTTTCTTATTAGCCTTTTTCTTCTTGGCTATCTAAGCCTCCCCTTTAAATCGGAAATCAAATGGAGCCACCTGCCCAGGAGGTTCTCTCCCCAAGCTGCTCCACTCTCTGCCTACTCTCTGTTCCCTCTCAGTCTTAGCATCCTCTCCTCAAATCCTCTGACTTCACCTTGCTTTGCCCACTGGCCCAGAGAGAGTTGTGATTCACATGTCCCAGAGGTGTGGCTCACAAATGTCATGAATCCCACAGCTCTGTCCTACCTGTACAAGGTCTGCTTGGGCTATCCAGTCACTAGTTAGAAACAAAGTACCCCTAGAAAAGATCAGGGCCTGAGGCTTCTTCTGGATCTGGTGCTCAGAAGGGATGAAAAAGCAAAGATTGAAAGCAAAGGAGTTGCTTTCAAAAAGGCAACAATCCTGTCAGGATCTATGGAACCCAACAGAAGCGAAAAGGAGATGATGATCCTAGAAAGTGAGCAAGTTCTCCTTCCAGCCCAATAACTGATTTCATTCTCATATCCACACTGCCACTCCTAGTATGGTCCCTTCTCTCAACCCCAGTTTGAATTTTGAAACCCTCTACTCTCTGGCCTCTCTATAAGATCAGCCAGATTTCTTTCCTCTAGTATCCCAGGGCTCCCATAGCTAGAAACATTTGCTGCTGCCTCTAGGCTCTGGAACCAGTCCTGTCCCAGGAAAGTCTCTATGCGTGCTTACCTTGAGGGTAGCATCATGCTTTCTGCTGTGCAACTGGGTCACCTGTATGAACCACATCCCAATTCCCAATGCCCTCTCTTTGCTCTTAAAAATTCCCTGCTAGCAGCAGTTGTCTCTGTCTTTCCTCATAACTTAGTCTATGACAAGGGTCCAGACAACTATATCTGTGCAACCAAAATGGTGGAAGGTGCTAAGGTTTGGACCTAGACAGTCCAGA